ATGAATAGTTCCCTGCTTCGGGAACCGTTTTTTCGCTTCACAATGATTAGAAACAGCTGATCGTCGGGTTGTCAAAACGGCTCCCCACTGTTTTCCGGACCTATTTCCGGAAGACAGTGATCAAAAATGGCTTTCCCTATGGAGGATTTTCACAAAACAAGCAGGTATTTCCCCCATTGGAATGCATTAACCGGTGTTCAATGCATTCCAATGGGTTTTTTACTTTTGCATGATGACGATTTCGCTTTACGGCGATTTTAATGGAACGGATTATCGCCGTCATGCGGGGCACCACTGTATGTATGTATGAATGGATGAATGAATGAATGAATGACATGACATGACATGACATGACATGACATGACATGACATGACATGACATGACAAAGAGGGGTTGAGTAAGCATACAGGTGGGTCCCACTGACCTGTTCACTTAAGCTTCTGGTGGTTGAAGACTGATTGGCAACCATTTGTATTGCTCCATTATCGATCTTGATTTATATATATTTTGCATGCTGTACTATTACAGCTTTCAGAGATTTGGTAACTCAACCCACCCACATTATGTTGAACTACAAATCCCATCATCCCACCAATGCTGGCTGTGGATAACTAGAGTAATAGTCTAACACAGGGGTCCCCAAATCCCTGGTCCGTGGCCTGGTACTGGGCTGTGGCCTTGACAGGACCGGGCTGAGGAGACAGATCTCCCACCCCCCCACGAACTGCCCCCATGCATGCCCACATAACCCACCCACCTTCGCAAGGGTGCCTTGGCCATCTGTGCATGCGCGAGTGCTCCTGCCTACCTGTAAGCGCGGGGGGTGCCCTGCCCTCCATGCACAGACCCCGCGCCCCCCACAGATCCATAGTTTGGAAACGATTGGGAAGCACTGGTCTAACACATCCCATGTTCCTCAAGTTCAGAAAGACTGTTCTATTTTACAAATTTTCTTTGATTGTTTTATCTGTTCTTACCTGATTCACTTGTTCTTTTGATATCCATCATGTTTCAAAAATACTTTAGGGACTTTTATACAGGATTTAACATTGTTATATACAGAATGTAATAGTTTTATATTGTTTTTTCATGTTTTCATCAGACTGCATTGAATGCCACAGTTACAAGACAGACAGATGAATACATATGTACAGTGGTGCCTCGCAAGACAAATGCCTCGCAGGACAAAAAACTTGCAAGACAAATAGTTTTGACATTGGGGGTTGATGATTCACAAGACAAATGTTCCTATGGCCATGCTTCGCAAGACAAATGTTTTCCGTTTTTTGTTCCTGCCTCATGTTTGCTGATTTTTAAATGTTTTTCTATGATGTTAAAAAAGTTTTTTTATTGAAATCTTTGAAATCATGTGCACAATATATATGGCTTTAAAGAGCACTTAATAAACCCTTTGTAAACCAAATTTGACTTAAAAAGTGAGATATAAATGAGATAAACATTTCAAATGTACATGAAGAATCTGTAAAATTTTGTAATAGCAGATTTCAAAATACTTTTTGACAGTATTTTAAAGACTTGTAATTTTATCAGCCAACGAATTATATGAAGTATGGATCTTTATTAGAAACATGGAAAAGATCAACATGATCCACACTTCAGTTGTCTGCCTGAATTTATTTTGCCTGTTGTGGTTTTTGACAGATTCCCCTCCAAGCAATAAATGTACCTTTTTCATATTTGAACTTTGAGATGCGGTGGACAGAGTAGCTCAAGGTCCAGGAACAGAGCAGTTTTCATGATCAACAGGGTCAGCCATATATCTCAGAGCTGTTCTGGTTAAGCAACTGGGAAATGTTACTTCCTTTTGACAACTTCATCCAGAATCTCCCAGGCATTCTGAGAGAGTTCTGGAACTGTAGTCCAAAAAGAGAACTTTTTTCCAGCTCTGCTCTGGAACCACCACCCCACCCCACCTTGAGTAGAAAATAAAATAGCAGGCTGTTTTACTTTTCAATCTCAGCCAATGAATAACAAATAATGACGTAAACTGCCTTGGGTTCTTTTAGGGAGAAAGGTGGGGTAAAATACTTTAAATTGATTTTTAGAATGAATAATATGCCATTCCTAGAGACATTTTCTATTTTGTGGGCACCAGGAAAGGAACACAAACCATGCAAGATGAATCTGAGGTAAGGTAAAGGTTCCCCTTGACGTTTAGTCCAGTCGTGTCCGACTCTGGGGCGCAGTGCTCATCCCCGTCTCCAAGTCATAGAGCCAGCGTTTGTCCGTAGACAGTTTCCGTGGTCACGTGGCCAGCGTGACTACACACAAAATGCCACGACCTTCCCACCAAAAACTGAAACACTCCTTTATTCTGCTATGAACCTTCTCCAGAGGAAATGCCATCCTTATCCTCCAGGCCACTATATTGGTTTTTGACCAAAACATGCCTGAGTGCAAAGACTCATGTTATTATACTGCAGCTGGTCCTCAGTGTCCCCAAGCCAAAGGCAGCTGCTTTGCCAGCACATGAGCAGCTGCAGACAAGTGGAAGAAGGAGCCTGGGCATCTGTGGCTTGGAGTAGTCGTCTTGCATTAGCATCAGGATATGGTGCAGAACATTTGCCTAGGCCCAGAGAGAAAGGAAGGCAATGCTCTGCTGGTTTGAAAAAACAAATGAGCTCCAGGAAGATCGCAGGCTGGGAAGTGCTGTTAATTACGTATCTTTTCAAATGCATGCTATGTGACTGGCCAATCCACTGGTGAATTCAGCAGTTATTAATCAACAATGCCATCCTAGAGTTGTCTATTGAGAGGTAAGTCCCATCGAGTTCAATGGGGCTTACTCTGAGAACCATGCACCCCCTATCTAGGCAGAAGTGAGCGCTGTTGGATCTAATGAAATTTACACTCCGGTAAGTGTGCACAGAATTACAATCTCAGTTACTTAGGGATTTGGGGTCTATATCAGATATTAACTATAATGCACGTCTTGAAATTAGCACTACAGAACCAGTATCTGGAAAAAATATTGTCTTCACCATTTGTTTCAGTAGATCTTCTCATAACCTCTGTGGCTGATTTTTCCTTTCTAATTCCCTACTAGCATCGTACGTGGCCTTGTTCGCTCTCACAGACAATTAAGCTGGTTGGCTAGAACCACATTAAGTCACTTATGGACACCCACACCATGTTTAGGTCATATGTTGCATTACAGTGTGATTAACAAACCTGCAGAGGTCATCACAACTAATCAGAGGCCACTGAGGACAAATGAGGCCAAGATCAGTGAGGCAAACGAGAATACATGCTGCAGAAAAGCTGCAACATTAGCAGACAGGAGACTGAAAGGTGCTGAAAAGTTCTGAAGCAACAGAAATACATTTGGAACAGATGACAAAACTGCCAAAATGAAAACATACAAAACTAAGTAAGTAATTCCGTCCAACTCCCAACCTTTTTTACACAGAAAAAAAGGGAAAACACTCACCAATGTTTTCAGTTTTGATGAATTTTGCAGTGGCAACAATCAAGCTTCCAGCCATCTAACAGGAATGAGATTTTAACAACACTACATAGTATACAAACGCTGGCTTCTTTTTACTTACCAGTATCAACTAAGAAAACTCCATAGTTGTTATGCAGGTCAGAGCTCTCTGGACAGTTCTCTATTCCAGCCTGATATACTTCTTCAGCATCTTTTAATTGTTCCTTAACACACAAAAAAAAGAGAATTAACAGAGATTGTAACCCAGAGGGCAATCAGCTGTGCTATTAATGCCATCTTGGACATTACTTCTGTGGAAATACTTTCCGCTTATTTTGCATGGAGTGAAGTGAGGGATCAACCTGTATTCGTCTGCAAGGAAATCTATGATATAGTAAACCATAAAAGCCAACACTTGACTTCAGAGAGTAATACCAACAACCATACAAGGTTGGCTCCAGGTTTCACATGGCTTCAGATGAACTGTCCTCTGGTGGACTCTTTCCAGTGTCGGTAGGCCCCGGATGCAGGCTACATGAAGTATAGATTAGTGACACCATGAGTGTCATTATTTTCCACAGTGCATGGAGCAACAGTACCTCAGAGGTATCATAGGATATTTAAAATAACGGCTTTCAGAAACAGCCTGCTGGTGCAGTGAGCCCTTGCCTGTAGGGTAGCCATTGGTCTTACCTTACAGAGGACAACCCTCTACTTCAGTGGTTCCCAGGTGTTTTTGGACTACAACTCCCAGAAGCCTTCATCACTAGCTGTGCTGGTAGGGGTTTCTTGGGAGTTGCAGTCCAATAATATCTGGGTTACCCAAGATTGGTAACCACTGCTGTAATAAAAATGGCTGTTCACTCCAGGCCCGGTTTAAAACTAATAATCCTAAAAAGAGAAAATAATAGTCACATTCTAGGTGGACGGTATATAAATCTGATAAACAAAACAAACAAACAAACAAACAAATAGCTGCTGATTAACATTAATACCCAGATACAAGGCTACGGTTAGACACGCTGAAGTCCTAAAATACATCATGTATGAAGGATATTTCCGAGGTTTGAGATGTAGTAATTTCTGCTGCTTTTTATACTCAGAGTTCCCGGATAATCTGAGGTTCTAACCACTGTTGGCCCATGGCCCTGTCACACTGATGACCCTAAACTAAAGCTTGTGGATGAATCCAGTGCTGCTTGGACTACAAATGGACTGGGGATACAGATCCAGTATGGTGAGACATACTACATCTTCTAATTACAGTTAATGACTTTGAGAAATGCACCTATACATATACACTAACAATGTAAGTCCAAGTTAGTGAGAACATGGTGCATGATCCAAAACCAGGCAAAAACGACATGCTAGGAGGAGAGAGAGAAAAAACACTGACTCACTCATTCTAGAGTGAACTTTACTCATTCTGACCTTTCAGAACCAGTATGTGACCTGAAATTCAATTCAAAATTTCATTTTCTGAGTTCTTCAGTAGAGTTCTTCCATCAAACAAATGTACATATTAGGGGAAAATGCACTCCAAATGGCATATAACTATGAAAATAATATAAAAGTGCATCAAGAAAAAGGCCCACAAAATGTATATATTATATTGCACAAAAAATTGCATGTATTAGCAGAGATGTACACAAAAATACATACAAATCTTCATGAGCTCTATCCAGCAAAGCCAATGGAAAGAATCTTAGGAATTTCTGATAAGGTATGTTGGGAAGTCCCCCCATGCTATAAATAATCATGGGACTTTCAGAGATAGTGGCTGAGAGCTTGACTCCCTGCTGCGCCTTCCCAGGATAAGGGGCAGTCAAAGCCATCTGGAACCTGTACACCTGATGAGGTTACCTGCCCTGCCATGTACAACCATGGTAAGGTGCATGGCTCCAAAGCATCAAGAGGACAGCTTTTTAAACCACCTCTCTGAGTACCTGTTGCCACAAGTTAGAACTGACTTGAAAACACGCTCTCATTGTGGTTGTGGTGGCTGTTGGTGTTAGCCGGTCTCGTCAAAATAAAGGTTTTCTGAAGGAACATTTTGGTTTTAGATAGCAACCTGGGTTTTAAGCAGATTGCTCTTTTTATAAAAGCTTCACTGCTTCAAAGCAAAACTCCCCACATTCTGGTGTATGTGTAAAATGCCACCTGATACAAGGTCAGTGGGTTAATTGGAGTTAACAATCAAACCAAGCACTGCCTTCTGAAGGTTTTGATGTCAGAAACATCTGTATGGGATTTTTTTAAAAAAAATTAGAATAGAAACTGGTAGATTGCAATGGTACTTTGAAGTCCATGACAATGATAAGCTGGTTTTGGAGCATGAGAAACCGATCTTTTAGAGGTGCCACTCCTTCAAAGGAAAGCAGCAGATTACTGATAATAAGTTTGCTAAAACACTGGTGTATGCACAATAGCATACTCTCTTTTCAAGTGTGTTGTGCTCCTATTTGAAAATCACCTTTCGAGGGGAGAACAGTACAATTACACTGACTTACAACCCAGATCTCTGGAGCACAGGACATTAATCTTCAGGGTGCTTTTTACAACTAAAAGAGCAAAGGAATGTCAAGGCTCATTTTAGTTCCCTAGATTATTGTGGGAAAACGTGCTGCGCTAGACCAATGAAAGCAATCTAAAAGCTCCTTCCATTTTACCTTTCCAAACCGTAATAAAAACAAGTCCAGAGCCACAATTCATTAGGGTGCTTACTTTGCAGGAGATGGATACATGTGTGATTTCTACAGCTTTGGGTGGATCCTCCTGCTAGCCTAGCGGTGCCTTATACATGAAGAAATGTGTGCTATGGTTTCGCTACACACTAGACCTAACATTCTTTCTCATGGTGGCTTGGAAAAGCTACTTTTCCGACTCCTAGAATCCTCCAGCCAGTGCCAGCTATGCTGCTTGCAGGAGCTGTCATCCAAGGAACAACTTTACCCAGCTTTGGGACTAACAACAGTTAGGAGTGAGATGTGTACAGGACACAACGACTCAAGAAAAAGGGGACAGCTGCAGTGATCTGCACACTGCGGAAGTTGGGCAAGTTACAACTTCACTCTCCAAACTGAGATGCTCGGGTTTCCATGAAGCCACAGTAGGTACACACCATTTAGAGGTGGGTACACACATTAAAAATAGTGCTTCTCCACTGACAACAGTCCTTTTGTTAAACTTATGGATCTTAATGGTACATTCAAGACGAAGCCATACCAAAATTCTTCTGATGATAACAAGAACAGCTCTCTGGATGATCTGCAACCAGTCACTCTCTTTTAGATTGACCTACCTCACAGGGTGTGGTGAATAAGCTGGGGAGGACGAAGAGCCATGTATCTCACCCTGACCTCATTGTATGAAAGATAAATGTAGCAAGCAAGCTTTGGAGAATAAAGGAGTCCAGGGGAGGGGGCAGCAGATATTGCAATCTTTAATAATGAATCAATTCAGTTTTTTCAACTAGCTCTGCCCTGCTGCACCATGAAATCTTCCCATGATTCTACGAAAGAAGCAGGGTGAATTCTAATAAAAGCCTCCTTTGGAAACAACCTGCATCCTTTCTTTACTGATGCTTTAACTTTAAAATTGCCTGCTGACATGAGATAATGTCTGAGGGTCATGTACGGAACAAGTAGTTCAAGGAGGAGACTTTCCTGTCACCTGTCACAGCGGAAAAGGAGCTTATGTCTGCTAAGAGGGAACTGCTTTTCACTCACAACCCCTGTGACTTCATATTAGTTATTGCTCTAATGACCTTTTTGACCAGTGAGCGAAGCTATTGAAAATCCATACTCTTTTAAACAAGTTGCTACTGAGAGCAATTAATCTCATTTATTCTTTGGAGATGATTCAATGGAGGGGGGCTTATTGCCTGACTACAAAGAAGAAGAAATTAGCATGCAGAGGTGGCTGTCTGATCTAGGTGCACAGACAAAACTATTCAGCACATTTCCCCACTCATTGGTCTGTTTTCACCATCCTATCAGAACTTGCAGTATTGTCCAACTACCTTTATCAACCCACAGATTTTGGCAATACAGCTACAGGGAACAAAGAGAGGGGGAAATGCCTATTAAAGTATGATTAGAAAAGAATAATACTGCTCATCCTGCAGCCCCCAACTTTCATTCTTCTTATATAACTACAATGAAATGAAAAGATCTGTAGATGTTTTAAATCAAACATTTGCAAAGCATAGCAGGAAGAGGAAAGCACACAAAGGATGTGTGTCTTTCTTCCACAGTGTATGCAACAGACTCTTTCCTTGGATACGGCCAGTTCAGTGGCAAAAGAGATAGGAGGTTGGCAGAGGGCCTTAGGTTAAACTCTTGGCATTTCTAGGTAAGGCTGCAAAAGACATATGGCACACAAAGCTGCTACCAGTCGTTGTCAATAATACTGAGTCTCAAACTAGACTAGATGTTCGGGGGGATGTGTATCATCTAGAATCAACCCACTTTCCCTCCTGCAATGGCATTTCTTCCTACATATGTGTTTCAGTCAACAGTGGTAAATCAAGCCCGTGTTTCCCCTCAAATGACCGGCCACAAAACAGAACATATCAAGTGCAGTATATGGTGACAGGGAAAACTTGTGATATGGAAAATGTTTTTCAGCACATGAAGGAATATCTCTTCTACAAGCATGCTAAACATATTCTTCAGCAACCCTGAGCTAGATGGATTCATGGCCAAACATTCTTTATGCTTCCTTTGTTTTTGTTTCCTATTAAATTTCCTTCGTTGTTCTAATAGATGAGGACAGATAGAGGGCTTTATCATTCTAAATCCAGATGTGACACAAGGTTTAAAAAAGTAGATTTTGCAACTCTGATTAAGAAAGAAAGGCTGCTAGTAACCAATGTGAGTGCTGGTATCCATTGGCTATGATGTTCCTTTCCCATTTTTAGATAGGAAAGGATTATAAGAATCAGGCAACTTTGATTACTGTGCACAAAAGTTAAATATCATGTCATATGTTAGATTGTAGGTGCAATGAAGCATGTGCTTAGGTGACAGGGTGGGCAAAGTGCAGCAAATGTGCCACAAGTGATCACTCCCTTTCCCAATGCAAACCAGAGTTGTGCGTGCATGCGTGTTTTTTAGGTTGTTTTGTTTTTTTTGAGAAAGAGATTCCTGCTACCTTTTTTGTTTTTTTTTTGTTTTGTTTTTTTAGAAAGATTCCTGCTACTGGAAGATCCTGGGGTTTTCCCCCCAGGAAATCAGTCCTCCAAGACTCTGACCCCATCATCTGAAAACTGGAAGTGGTTGTCCAGGCACTTTCTGTTTTTGTTTTGTTTGTTAGTGTGTGTGTTTGCGTGTGACAGAGAAAGACATTTCTAGGCCTGGTGATGGGAGCAAAGGGGAAAACTGGCCACCAGGCTTATAAAAATTACATATCTTAGCTTAAGTGTAACACCTTTTCATGAAACTAACATTTTTTGGAATTGATATGTGCAGTGGTCATATTTTGAATTGTCCAAAATGAATGAATGAATGAAACACGTGTCTTTTCAGGCAGGATCCAAGAACTGAACTGGAGATACCTTTAAGTAGAACCGTTTTTGTTTTTCACATTTACTTTGCTTGTGCAGAACGTATCCATCCCCAATTGTAGGTATGTCTCCAACAGCTTCAGAAGAGTATGTCAGAACACAGTAACCATAGGTCAGGTGAACCTGAACACTTACCTGTTCAGCCAAGAGTGAAGCAAGACTGGAGTAAGCATCTGCAAACTCTGGTCCGTACCGAATAGAATCTCTCAGTAAGCGAACGGCTTCCTCTTTCTTCCCTTGGGACCTGAAAAATCATATTGCGAGAAATGGGAAGGGGCAGGAGGAAGGAGAGAGGGCAGTTCTTTGAATAACATTCTCAGTTCACCTATTGATTAAAACTACCATTAACAGACTCAAAAGTCCCTGTCTTCTTTTCAGTAAGGGCTAGATAATTAAATTTCTTCAGTCAAGCCTCTCTTGGGACAATATCATATTACACAGCCTGACAGCATGGAAAGGTGTGGGAGTAGTCACTGGATATGTATTAAGTATTGTGTGTTGGCACCTGCTGGTGTAGCTTTCATAGCCTGCTGTGCAGTGCTGCCATCCTTTGTAAAGCCCCTTCTTTTGCTTCTCAGCCTGTCTTTCCATTTATTCTCATATCAGGCAACACAAACCTCCAAGAGATTCTTAGTAAAACAAAACAGACAGGATTGATAGAAGAAAGAGGTTTGAAGAGGAAAGGTGAGAATCCATTTGAGAAATCTGAAAGGCACTGAGTCTTGTTCAGGCAACTTGAGCTGCTGCTTCTCGGAAAGTGTTTGTTACTCCAAAAACAAGGACAACTGTATTCTTAGCATTTTCTAAAATTTTACACAAGCCAAAAATGTTTCAACAAATCTAATTTTACTAGAATTCCTAAAATATCCTATCAGAACAAACCAAACTCCACTGGCAGGCAATACCTTTTCAGGGACCAGCTACGATTCCATAATACCATGTAAGTTTCTGAGTTTCCTAGAACTCCTCACAAAGCTAGGTGGTAAAAACATAGGGAAGACAGAAAATAACATTGAGGTGCGAAAACCTGGCTACATGTTTCAGCCATGAGGTCTGCAGTTCAACTGGATCTCTTGACACAATGTTCTGAAAAATTACAGTACAGGCTTTTCTTTTAAAGGATCCAATCTATGTTCTTGTTATTCTGTGCCATCAAGTTAATTTTGACTTACAGCAACCTTTTCCAGGGTTTTCTAGATAGAGAGTACAGTGGTGCCTTGCATAATGAGTGCCCCGTTTAACGACAAATCCGCATTGCGATGTTTAAATAGGCAAAACATCGCATTGTGATGATCGGTAAGCATTTCCCTTACCGATCTTCGCATTGTGATGTTTTGAAACAGCTGATCGGCGGTTCCAAAATGGCCGCTGGATCAACAAAAAGGCCGCCTGCAGCGTTTTCGCGCTGATTCCTCCAAGGCGGCGAAAATGGCGGCCCTATGGAGGATTTCCACTTAGCACTGAGTTTATCCCCCATAGGAACGCATTAAACGGAGTTTAATGCATTCCTATGGGGTTTTTATTTCCGTATAGCGACATTTCTGGATAGCGACAATTTATCTGGAACAGATTATCATCGCTATGCGCGGCACCACTGTACTCAGAAGTGGTTTAATATTCCCTTCTGCGGGCATCCAGGGACTGCATAGCTTGCCCAAGGCTACACAGGCTGGCTTTTCTGGAATGCACAGGAGGGAATCGAACTCCCAACCTGTAACTTCGCAGCCAGAAACCTAACTCACTATAAGACCTATTTTTATTCTGACTCTTCAAACACGCTGGTGGAAAATAATTTCCCAAATACTGAGTGACTTGTCATTAGTTACTTTCTCCAATAATAATGCTATATGAATCAGATAATTGCTATAATTTAACAAGGGACAGTTTCCCTCCCCCTCTTTTGTGCTGAACACTTCTTTCACTAAGTTTAAAACAGACTTTATGAGAATGCATTTAGTGTTCTCATTAAATGAAGGAGGAGGAACACCACATGGATCTCATGCTGGTTTGGGCTCTGATGTAGGTGTACGTGAAGTGAAGACAATGAAGACAGGAGGGGAGTGGGCTGTGCTTTTGATTGCAGGCCAGGTTTTTGTAGGGTTCAGATGGATTTGTTTTAAGTACATGCTCGCAAGTAAAAGCAATGAGAAGTGTTTACTCATAAGCAAAAGAAACTAGAAGTAACAAGCTTGTTATTTTGCTATTTTAGTTGGGAAAAAGCCAAGAGTTACCATTTAAAACATTGCAATTATAATTATAACTGACTGCTTTAGAAGGTGCCTTTTAAATACTTTTTTAAAAAAGTAACCTTTCCAAGCTTCAAGCATTTTTCTCTCAAAATAGTTCCCTTAAAAATATCGGCAACAATATTTGACTTTAAAATTGAGGTTCATGAGAACAGCAAAATACTAATCACTCAGCAAGACCTGGGCCTCCTGTGAATCAGCTGGAGGCTGTTCAGCAAATGCAAAGTTTCCTCAGAAGTACTGATTATGGCGCACAGTTGCCCTGTGGGAACCATTAGCGTCTGAGCCTTAGAATAAAGTTGCTTATCAGCAGTCTCTCGATCTCTCCTGTTTCTCATCTCTAAAAACCCAGTAGAGCAGCACAGCGGGCTTGATGTCCATCCACTTCCACTTCAATAACACAGTTATTGTCCGGACATGTGTGGATGTAAATGCAAGGACAAATGAGTTTAACGATTACAGAACAAACATACACAAAATAAAGTAAGAGGGATGACCCCACTACTTCAGCCACAGTCCATTTTGGCCATCACCTTGACAGCTATTGAAGGAACAGGACAATACAACCTGTGTGTTAGGACAAACGGAGCGATCTCTAGACAAACCCACTAGGATCCTGGAGGACTGATGTCCCTTATTTAAAAAATTTGCCCAAGGACTACTCATGTCTTCCCTCCCCTGCATCTATTCTGTTTCCAGACACAACAAAAACCATGAAGTTAAATGGAGAAATACTCTTCCTTACCCTATAGTTAAAAGCCAGTATGGTTTAACGGATAGAGTGATGGACTAGGACTCAGAAGACCTGAGTAATCCCCACTTGGTCATGGAAACCCACCAAAGGGGTACATGGTACAACCACTCCTTAAATCTTTCACAAACCTTAAAAACTGATGGACTAGGACTCAGGAGACCTGAGTTATCCCCACTTGTTCATGGAAACCCACTGAAGGGGTACATGGTACAACCACTTCTTAAATCTTTCACAAACCTTAAAAATCTTGGCCAATTGTCTCCCCCACTATAGACCCATGTAATGTCAGAAGCCCTTGAAGAACTACTGGGGGTGGGGGAGAAGTTCCAGCAGAACAGAACATAAAACGAATCTCCGTTTGCCTTTTAAAGTTCTTCCCACTGTACTTAATATATTTTATTTTAAAGGTTGCATTTTAATGTGGATTTAATAGTTTTATTTTAAAAAAATTATTTGTTGTAATGTACTTGATGTATCATTAAAATATGGAAATGAGCCTCGTGGTACAGTGCTTAAGCTACAATACTGCAGTGAAGACTCTGCTCATGAATTTGAAGTCTGGTAGCTGGCTCAGGGGTGACTTAGTCTTCCATCCTTCTGAGGTTGGTATGCAGCTTGCTGGGGTGGGGGTAGTATGTTGCCTGCATAATTAAACTGTAAATCACCCAGAAAGTGATTTAAGCACTATGTGGTAGTATATAAGAAGCAAACTTTGGAAAAGAATATAGACATCGGTTTAATAGCAACAACAACAATAACACATGATTAGCAACCATATCTTGCTTTGTGAACCATCAGCATAATGTTTGAAATAAATAGACAGACAGACAGACAGATACTGCTCTAAGGTGGTTCACTCTGGCAAAGATGCCATTTGATTGCAGTCTGTAGGAGCGAACCAGCGACAGACAGACAGACAGACAGACACTGCTCTGAGGTGGTTCACTCTGGCAAAGATGCCATCTGATTGCAGTCTGTAGGAGCGAACCAGTCTGTCACTGCAGTGCACCAAATAGTGGGCTAAGCACTCATGTGGTTAGCCTCTAAATTAATATTAACATAACATAGTCAAATAAAGCTCTCTCCACCTTTCCCACTCTCCTCAATAACAAAAAGTCAGCAAAATTGTCAATTTTCAAAACATCTGAATTCCTCCTGGAATTCTGTGACACTGAAAATAGATGACTGCTCTGCTGCATGTATCCACACTTGGCAAGAGTACAGGAAATGCCACTATCAGAAGTTAAAGGATTAAGAAACCCACTCAGCAGCAATAAAAATCTTTATTACTCACAGACATGCCTCCTGAACACTATGTAGTCCTCTCAATTATCCTCTTTTTTTTCTTTTAATGGCTTTTTTTAACTTTGATCAGAGAACAATGTGCATCTTTAAAAGAGATAATAAAAAGATTATAGCATTTCCTATGTGACAGTCTGAATTACATATGTTACTTGCCCCCATAAGAAAATGAATCCCCTGGCCTCATTCCAGACAAATGCAGGCTCAGTTTAAGCAGGGCAAGATTTGCCACTGATCACAGGCAGGCAATCATTGCAGTCCAGAATGGAGACTGTTCCCTCTGCAGTCTATTAGCATGGTCCAATAGACATGACATTTCATTTAGATCAGAAGACTTGGAAGGTTGCTTTTTTAAAATATGGCAACGAGCAGGACCACTGGCTGTGCAGACTAGGGTATTTTGGAAGTTGTAATTTAGAAAAGGTATTTTTCCTGTCTCTGATTCAGATGTGGATCCTTCAGAAAAAGGCGGCATAGAAATATTTTAAATAAATAAATGTGACTTTCATTCAAGGCCAACCTCTGCCGTATTGGCCTGCTTTGGATACAAATTTAAACTAAAATTCAGCAGCCCTGAAAACAGAAAAAAACGGTCTGCTCCTTTAGAAGAGGAGACTGAATTAAGCCAACCAGAGTTTCATGTCATGTTTGAACTAGGAATACCAGTTAGTTTCATAGAATCATAGACAAGTGAAGTTGAAAGAGGCCTACAAGGCCATCGAGTCCACTCCCCCTGGCTCGACACAGGAACACAGTCAAAGCATATCGGCCAGGTGATTATCCATGTTTTTCTTGAATGCCTCCAGTGGTAACCGGTTTGTGTTGGAGCACTCACCAACTTCCAAGGTATTGCTCTAACAGTTTTTCTTGAAATTCAACCAAAATCTGGCTTCCTTTAACTTGAGCCCATTGTTGCACGTCCTGCAGTTTGGGATGATCGAA